TAAATAATATACTTTAATTTTATAATATTTTATTGCTGTAAATAGCTTTGAAATAGCTTTTAAATGATTTTTAAAATAGCTTATTAAATATTTTTAGTATTTTTAATTATTTAAATAATAAATTTTATAATTAAATCATTAAATATATTTATATATATTATTTTACTTCAATAATGTAACAAAATAAAATTGCAATTTTATTTAATATAAATACAAATTTTAGTAAATACTGATATTGATCAATATAGTATCAAAATTTTGATTTAGTATTTTTACATAAAAATTAATACTGAAACTAATCAGAACCTTATATATATAGCTTTATAATAAATATAGTACAAATAACTTTTTTAATATTTTATAATTCAAATCTTTTATAAAATAGTTTTATACTTTGTTTTAGTTTGTTATTGTAGATAATGATATTGGTTTTAACAAATTACTTATAATAATATTACTATATTGTTATTTTTATAACTAGTTAAGTTGTTAGTTTTATTGTTAATATATTAAAAATTAAAATTATTAAAAGAAATTTCATGTTTTATTTTAAGAAAAATTATTAAAAAAATTATTAAAAAAAGTTAAACAATAATTATTGGAATAAAAAAAATATTAAAATATAATAAGTTTATTGAAATATAAGGAACAATAACAACAATAAAGTAAAATTATTAAAAAATTCTTTATTTATATTATATCATGAAAAAATAAATAAAACAAAATCAAGTTGTAAAAATTTTTTATTTTTTTTATTTTATTGCTTTATATATTTAATTTAATTTAATTTTTCTTTTTTTGTTTTTATTTAAATATAAAAAATCTAAAACTGGTTTTAATTCAAACTGAAACCAAACTGATACAAATCAAAACTAATTTACAAACCAATTAAATTAGTTTCAGTTTAAAACTTGAAAAAAATATTTTTTAACATTATTAGAATATTAGAAATTATATAAAATATGAAATTAATAAAAAAAAAGTTTATTTCAATTGAAAAAATTAATAAAAAAAAAACAAACAATAATTTTTATTATACATGTATTCATATTATTATAAAAGGAAATTTGATTGATAAGACAATTTTAAATTAAATGTGATTTTCAATTATTTACTATATATTACTTAGTAACTCTATGATAATACAGTATTTAAAAAATATCTGAATTCAATTTTACTATATATTAAACTATCATTTTTATTGTAATCAAGAATATAAGTATTATATAAAAGAAACTGAAAAATCAAATTAATGAGAATAATGAAAATACTATCTATATATTATACAAGACTTTATAAAGTAGTTAACTTACTAGTTTTGAATATCAGTCAAATAAAAATAATAAAAATAATATAATAAGATTTATTTATTAAGATAATTATTTTCAAAATTAATTGTGAGAAAAATAAAGTATAGAGTTTATTGCAAAAATTATTTATACTTATCAAAGATAAAATCAATGAAGATAATATGAATAAAGATTTTGACAATTCAATATTATCAAGTTTAATTCAAACAGATTTTACGTTTAACGTATCATTCGACGAATATACCACTGTCGTTAACGCCGTAAAATCTATACAACAAGATAATGAATCTGCACACACTGAGTAAGTTATACCTACCTAATCGCCTCTATTCGTTGTGTACCAATGTTCCCAATTTTTTTGTTGTAGCCCACTATGGTGAGGTGTTCTAGATTTCCGCGAGGAGAACATATCTCCGAGTCCAAACCTTCCTCGTGCTAAGAATTTCCTTTCAACTGATGAGATCGATCGTTTGATGATTATGGCAAGAAGTGCTATTCAAGAAGAGAAGAAACACATCAGTAAATCGGTAGAATCTTTCTTAGAGGCATTATTACTATCCGAAATTGTTAGCCTTAGACTTCTTGCAAAGGAATGCGGTGCGCGAGGTGTTGCTAGTGTATGCGAAAATTAGCGGATAAAATGCAGGTTAATCAAAATTATTTCCTAACATTCTGATTTGTATCCATAAGTTTGTAAATTCTATGACGGACCACTTTACAATAGGATGTTACGGATAGCAACACAATTAAAGATCATCTCGAAAATGTTGATGTTGACGATGAAGCTACGATATATGTGGGGAAATGTATTGAGGATAGCTAAGTTTCCATCCGTATGCATTATTTAGTCATCTACATTTGTTATAAATTTAAACGATGGCATTATAATATACATGGATCAACCGTTTTCCTGGAGGATCCACCGTTGACATGTTCATAGTTGGACCATGTGCAAAAACCCCACAAACTATATTTACTTAGTAAGAAAGTTGGTTCGTTCTTGAATGCTTTGTCTTTTATATATGCATCATTTTTTCTCTTTTATAGCGGTGAAAACCATTATGATGCAGATCGTTATGACAAAACAGAGCGTTCCGGAACTCAACGTGTTGGCAAGGCATGCGATTTCTTGTATTGGGTATGTTGGTCTTATTTGGTTATTAAAAGTGAATAACTTAATCAACATAATATTTTATATGTAGAGCTCATCTATAGAGGCCGGTATTGGCGAGAATAGTGGGCCAACCCACAAGGACAATCATGGTAAGGCAAAAACCAACTTTGTCGACGTGATTAAAGTGTCTAGAGCACAACATATCGAAATTGAAACTCATATTATTGAGCAGAGTGACAGAAATCCTCTACCAGATTGCCTACAGAAAAGATTGACTTTGATATTTAGGCCGTTTTTTAAATAATTGGAATAAGAAATAGGTTATACATTCTTTTTCAAATCAACGGAGATCTGTACAATTTTTGGGATTGGACATCAGAATCCTTACCAGTGAAAGATACAGATGTAGGTGAGCTTGTCTTATTATGCAGAAGGTTTTTAGTTCACGGGGTACGTTGTTTTTTTTTTATTAGTTTTGCTTTATGAGTTATCAAGCTTTTACTAATAATAAAGCTTAACAGAATCTTGTAGAATGTGTAGGACAGATGGCAAGCATTCTTTTTAAGAAGGTTAAAACCTTCAAAGATAAAATAGCTGGTGCTGGAGAGTCTCCTCAAACAACGATAGAGATAAAAAAATTCCGAACTCTCGCAAAACGTTCTCAAAAGTCGGATGATTTATCCTTATCACATAATTAAATTTGTACCATAGCAAAAAAAGCAAAAAATTGCTTTTGAAGTAAATACTACAAAAACTTGCTTAATTATGTATCACATAAATAAAGCGGTATGGTTGTTTTGTAAAGATCATGTATATGCATATTAAGAAGCCTTTTAAAGTTTTAACTTCATTCAATGAGACCCAATTCTCGGAGATGTTCTGAAATAACCATATATGGGTCTTCGTAGTACCAAACATGTCTTAAAACGATTCAATTTTCTTTGCATAATTTTTTCTTGAGTTGATCTCGCTCTTGCTGTCTGATAAAATTATTAGGATCTCCTTTGTGAAAGAATTTGATATATTTTTCATGGTGTTTCCTTTGTACTTCTATAGTAAAACCGCAATAATAATAGGAAATATCGAGTTGTAGCCCAATGGGATATTCTGTGATTTTCAGATGGTGGACCAAGATACTTAATTATAATTTCACAGCATAGATTTTCATATTCATATTTTGAGCAACAGGAACATCAATTGAAATCCAAGCAAGAATGTCAGTTTTACAGGTGGTGAAAACAGTAGTGTGATGTTATGCTAGTTGCATATTTCAAGGATCAGTAATAACAGTGACTGGAATACTGAAGTTAGTTTTTATAATAATATTTCATATGACCTTTCCCTAATACTTTTATTATTGGGATCAAGAATAATAATTTGGCATATTAATATAGCAAAAATTAATTGTTTAGAAGAATCTTGTTTTGATCAAATTTTATTGAGATTTGAATTATAATACTAAGGTTTTCTTTATCCTCTGGTGTATTATAAAGATTTTTATAGCATTTCATTGTTTTTTGTGATTTTTTCTGTACCATTATCTTAGTAACAATAGTATTGATATTAATAATATCCAGGCAACTTTCATCAAAAACTGAAAACATTGCATCTCATACTTTTGATACCATATTTCTTTGAAATCATTACCTGATACTAGTTGGATGCTATCTGGAGAGAAGGTCACTATTAATCCAATGAGGATGTCCTTTGAAAGTACATGTTTTCACTAAAGTTTTGACATTATAAAAGCAAATTTTCTTTTACTATCAATGGCAAGAAAATGTCTATCTAGGGAATGGCAATTGTATCTACAATTGTTCGCAAGATTTTAAAAGAAAACTTCCGAACTGTACGTCCCACATATTTGCATTGCTAAAATCCGTATAGTGCAATCAAGCTCTTTTGAAATCAATATAACTCAAATCTGCCTGTTAAGCTGAGTGTGGTCAAACAAGCTATCACTTAAATATGAATGCCATTTAAATCCATGCCACTAATGACCATTTCGGCCTTATTTAGAATCGTGATTGCGTTCGCTGCCAATTTCGAAATTAGTGGTTTTTTTTTATTTCTTAAAAGTTAAGAAGATTCTCTTTGAATTTGTACATTTTCCGAATATTTTTCTTGTTTCACATATTCAGTTAAAAAGCGAACAATTCCAGGCTCACGCAATATTAAGTTTTCTCCAAATAACGCGAATATACTGTATCTTTTTTGCAAACCGCCTCACAAATGGCACTAGCAACAAAATATTTAGCACGCTAGTTTATGTCATCCGTGTCGGATACTCTACCACTACTTCATTGCTTTAAACATTTCAATTGCCAAGTCTTTGTTAAATAGTATACAATGTCGCGTAAAATCACTTTCTAAGAATGCATTGTCTTCATCTTCTTTTGATTGAACGCGTCTAAAAGTTTTTGTGATTGTTCGAACCATTTTTCCACAAATCTGTTATACAAGGGAGGTGTTGTCGTCACCGGCGAGTCTGTCGCTAAAACGGCTCATTCTTCGCGTGACGATAATCCGAACGTTGGATTTCGGCACTAAATAAGGTAATGCTTTATCTCTGAGGCGGATTACGATTTGACCGACTTTCGCGCACTTGCTAATCTCTTCTTGACCATCTTTCTCTCTAGGCGCGTCTCAATATTACAAGTGTCACTCTCTACACAGAGCAAAAGGAGTCGCGTCTCTCTCTTAAAGTCGTTTACTTTACTGTAGTGGCGTAGACTTGATTTGTACTTTAAGGAGTGTGAATGTTATTGCGCAAAGTTGTAGCATTTATTTAATAAGGAAGAAAGAGTGAAAAGCACGTTACAAACTCTTAAGTCTCTAACCGTGTCTAGAACTCTAAGCTGGCTCTAAATTTATATGCCTTGTTGACGCGTCCACTCAGTTACATGACCAGGACTAATGATTACGTCATTCCACCATCATCGTTGCTATAATTACGCGACGCGCCTCAATGTCGCGTTTCCATCCCTATTGTTCCCACAACAAAGGTTATACGTGTTATACTTTTTACCGAGTCCTTATTCTCTTGCAAATATATTAAGTCCGGGACGATTTGTATTGCAATTTTTAAGATAAAGGGTTGCTTAATAGGCGATCTGAATTAGGAATGCGCCTAACACGGCTTCTTTTCCAGAAAAAGGTGTCATCCATATTTTCTGAAAAAACTTATGAGGTAAATTATCATAAAAATTTGACCGACGGACCTTAATCTCCTCATATCCATCTAATATAACCATAAACTTGCAGTTTCGTTTTAAGTTTTTGTGATTTCTTTAGATAACCCGATTACTTGCAAATACTTTGGAATTATTTTCGAAGTGAAATAAACAATAGAACAGGTTTATTATCTAACTCGAAAAATCTGTCCATTGACGGCGAGCGAAATAACGTATTTGCCCGCTCCAGCTTCGCCTAAAAGTAGCAGGATTAAAGAGCTTGTGGCATCTAGTGATCACTTCCCCTTGATTGGGACATACTGTATAAGCCCAGTGCATTTTTAAATTCTTCGTCTCGTTCTAGTTTACTTAATTTTTCCTAAATGTACCAGCGGTTCTGTGACATTTAATGCCAAATTGTGATAATTTAAGATTAAGGCAGAATATATTATACGTGGCACATACTGTATATGGAAGAATTGTGCTTCTTCATTAGGGGTTATTTTATTAACCACCGATTTAGCGTATTTTTTAATCTTGGTCACAAGATCGCCATTACACACTTTTAACTTCTGAATGTCCTTGGTTTCATTTTGATAAAGATCACCTAAAAACCTAATCGCCCTTGTTATAAGGACTCTGACGAACAAACGTTTCGAGTTTACCAGCTGATTTTCCGATCTACCATCTCAATTAATTCTTGAGCGCGACTTACGATTTCACACCTTTAAATACCTCTCTAAATCTTTAAAGGTATCTAGTAATTTTAATGGGTTCAAGTTCTAACCGCGCTAACTATATTCATAGTTCCAATAGCTACTTTAAAAGTTCGACTGACGTATAACTTCTCGCCATAACTTTTCGTCATTTGAGGTATGCAACAATGCCTGAAAGGCGAAGTGTCCATGGTAAGCTAACGAAGGATTATCTTTTGGCACTTTAAATCGTAGATACAATGGCTCGTGAAGTTTTTCACGACTAATACCCTTAATTCCTACCTGAATCATGGCATCTAACAATGGACAGATTGTTTGTAACAGCTCGCTGAATTGAACCTCGTCTTGTTTATGTAGTTCTAGACGGGTATTTAAGATTCTTAATATGGCTACTAGATTCCCTGTGCTAACCTCTCCGATAATTGAAAGCGAAATGTTGAATTTTTTAATTTCCTGAATACTTATCTCTAATAATCCTTCATAAATTTCTTTATTCGGAATGGGTGCTAGGACGACGATTTCATGGATCATCTCTTTCCTTTTAAATTTCCTCTGATAATCTCATGAGTTAAATTCTTTAATTGTTGCTTTTGTTCCGATGTAAGGTTTTCATATTATAGATAATAGGCCAAAATCTTGAATATTGGGTATGTCATCTATCTTCGAACGTAACTCGGATGTTAGCAGCGGCTCTTGGGTAAAAAAACTCTGGTTTTAGTGAAAAGGTCGGCGTCGTTGTCTCCGGCAAAGTTGGCCTATCTATTTCGAGTTCTATCGATAATTTGAGACAAACATCAGCATGAAATAAGGAGGAACCTTTAACTTTGAATTCATTAATTGTTTTTTGATAGTGTAGCATGACGCGATTTGCACCAAGTGATCGGTCTTCGCGGAACAATCGTGAGATCTAACTTGGACGGAACACGTCGTAACAATGAAAGGCGACACATGAAGATGTGAAATAATGCCATAGAAATCTATGGCACAGTCAAAGGGAAGCCCAGAGAATCATGTGACCAGTTCCTGCTTGTCAAGTAAATGAATTATGTAATATGGCGAAAATATGACAATCTATTTTAGTTTTCTTTTTTTGTTTATTTCATTTTCTTTATTACCCTCTTATTATGTAATTACTGAAATAATTGTATAAAGAACGATCGATCTTAAAGAAACAAGGTTAGGTTTTTTCGATCAAATCAACTACACGCCTCACCTGTGAAATCATTACGTGAATCTAAGCTAACTGTAGCGACAGACTCGCCGATCACCTACAATAGGCATCTAGCGTATCCTTAGATTTTTGTTTTCTGGCATTTTCTAGATGAATCTTACCCTCTTTGTAACGCTCATCGAACATGTTTTTTTTTGGTACAAGTCGATTCTCAGTAAATGAGCTGTTACGCAACCTCCTGATCCGCTTATTATATTCGGTTTTGGGTATGATCAATTTGCGTATGAATGCTAAAATCAAAGTTCTACATTAATTTGTAAACAATAACTTACGATTTAAAAGAAGCTTTATTTTTACCAACTTACTGTATATGGTTTCGAATTGTAGCCATACTAATGTCTTTTGGTTATACCGTCTTGAATCGACATTCTAAGGCTTAATAAATATTGGTTCGTTCTAAACAATTTTTCAGAATACGCAATTAATTTAATAAGTAGATACAATATCTGATTCTTTGATGTTTCCTATTTTCGAGTGTCGACAAATATTTTCCCTGAATAAGTTTTCAAAGCTCTTCATGTGGCATATCGTACATGCAAATGCTAACGCAAGATAATATCCATTCCCATTTATTTTGTTTGTTAAGATTACCGATAATCTTATGCTTAATAATAGTATAATGAATCATCCACTTTAAGATTTTGGAGGTCATGTGCCATTAGTTATATTTAAACCGAAACAAATAAATAAAATAAAATAAATGGATATACTTGGATATACTGTATACATACATAATTTATTTTATTAATTAAATTTTATTATTAGTGACAATATTCCTTCTTGGAATTTATTCCATGAATTCGATTGAATATTTTCATTTTATGGCACCACGACCTCATGATCGTCGTCTATTATACAAAACCCTTTACAATTCACAATCTCTTCCATTCACAATCTTCTCTCAACACACAATCTTCTTTTTTCCTTAATATTCTTGTGACGATATTAACCTTTTTTCGATTATTACCATTTTTTTAATCGAGATTTTAAAAGACATGTGACCGAGCACTAGCACGTCGAGCAATGCCTTACATGGTAAATCGGGGCATATGTGATATAAGGCAGTTTTTGTTTCAAATAAACATATGCCATAAAAAAAATGGTTAAGTGAAATTCTTGGCATAAAAAAAACAAAAAGACATGCAGTTTATACTATATATGAAAAGAAGGAACCAATTGATCAGATTTAGATTTCAAAAGGTACCGTAACCAAGATGAGTATAAAGGGTTAACTTATGTTTTTCGAATGTTGCTTAAGTGTGCTCTGAATGTTTTTTCTGTGAAATTGTGCTGTTAACAATCAATGCGTGTTAGAAATAAGAGATTATAGTGTTGTCGACGGCATTGCGCTTTACATGCGTACAGTGCATGTATCACATCCGTATATACAGCGTATACTGTACATACTATTCTGTCGATAATTATGACGAGAAGATCGATAGACAAGAGAACAACCTTGGCATTGATGATAAATCATCGGATAAACCGATGTCTCGATGAACCAATAAATCAATACAGTGAAATTGATTTCGTTCATTAGTAATAAAAGTTTGGATCATTAGTAAAAAAAAAATTTGATCATTAGTAAAAGATTTTGATCATTAGTAAAAAATTTTGATCATTAGTAATAAGATTAGTCCATGATTAGTAAAAAATCTTTGTCCACTGTTAAACAAAGTTTTTTGTTCTTAATATATGTTTCGTGTCATTGTTTTTAAAATAAAGATGTTTAAAATGAAATTTACTAGTTGGAGTTTTATCACAATATCGGGGATCGAATCATCGTATGTTTCATGCGGCGACTTACTAAACATCACCCAAAGAATCACGTGTTTTTCAAGAATTTTCAAGACGTGGCATTAGATCAGAACACGAAAATTAACAATCGAATTTCGAAGGTAGAGGTCATACGCGAAGTTTTGAATTCTGACCATGTGGCATATTACTAATTATCAACTCGTTCGATTATGTTAACCGCTTCAGAACATAAGATGATTTCTAAGGAGAACAAAGAATTCTAAATAATAGAAATGCAATAATCTCTACATTTTTTTTTTTTTTTTTAATTTATGCAATAATAAAGGTACTTGGATTCGAAGCAATAATGCCTAAAGTGGAATACACACCGAGCGATCATGTATCACGACGCAATTTCATTTATACACGCGGACATATAAGGTCCAATCGGCGCTTAAATAAACGTTTTTTTTTGTTTTTGTTTTTTTTTTTATTGGTAAATTAAAAAAAGTCATATACAGATTGCGTATTGTTAACAAGAAATGATTTCTTTTATTAATAATAGACCTAATAAGAAAAATTAATAGGGACTGAAGCACGTTCGATAAGAAAGCCCACATGAAAAATTGAAGACAGATACAGTTTAATTAATTACCACACAAAAACATGACATTCGGCTGACACGATCAGATGACCCCTATGAAGTCAAAATTCAAGTCGACCAGATAAGGAAGGTTATAGAAAAAAAACACGGAAACTTCTTCCAAGATCGAATCCACTTCGAATCATCTTTAGATGCAAGCATAAATTAATTTCGTCAGACGCGGAGAATCCTGGGAACCCAGAATCGGAAAATGAAATGAAATTCAAGATCGGTAACTCTGTAGATCCCAAGCTTCCCAAGCATAGTTTTTGCGGGTGGCGTAGAAGGTGCTTTCAGAGTCGAAATTCTCTGAATCACAGTGACACAAGAAATGAGTCTGCACACGAATAAATTAATAAAATCGACAGAAGAATTTAATCATGTCATGTAGTTGGAAAAACATAAACTAATGGTTGTGTTTCATCGCATCTCTGATTGAAACCTGAAATTTGATTTATTATAATAATCCTTAAAGATTATCGTAAGATTGAATCACGAAGTATTCAAATATTATGGCGCCATATTGATATTGACAACAACAAAGTATTCCTAAAACAGTGGATAAAAAACAATTTTTAGAAATTCATGACAAATAAATATAATGTTTTATCAAATGGATTTAAATGTTTGGAAAGATTGCTGTCTTAAAGTGGTAAACATTTGGGTCAACATCGGAATAATCAATTGGTATCCCATTTGACACGTAAACAACTAGGGCGCTTCTCTCAGATTCCCTGGTTCGGTAGGTATTCAATTAGCACACGCACAAATAATATATAATACATGATGCGTGGCTTATAATCATACCACTTATACAAGGGTTCGTGTCCAACCGTGTTTGATTTTTGATTTTTGAGTTGGACTTCGTACGATGTATAGTCGGATTTCTTGGTGTGATGTTTTAAAGTTCTCCCGACTATACGTTGCAATCAAAATACGCGAACGCAAATCATCTCTCACCAAGTCACGTATTACGAGTATTATCACGTGAACAAGCGGTCGAGGGTTAAGGGAGGCTTTAGATTTTATCGATCGATCACGTCGTGAGACTAAATTTGCGTAATGATGATGGATAGAACGCGCATTCATCTCTTAGATAGATGGCACTTCTCGCAAACTTCCGTGACCTCAATTTCCGTACGCTCTGAATCATCACATCAATACTCACCATCACTTGTTGGAACCGGGGTTTTGTCACGGGCAAATAATTTCATTGTGGTGAATGGCGTTATATCTATAATTTCGCCACGATCACCTTGTCGTCCTCAATCTTCCACTTATGATGGCCGTAGAGGAGAAAACATGAGTTCGGCGAAATGATCTGCCAAAAGTGTGAGCATACCGACGCTAGCTTGACGCGCGATCTGCTCGCTCGATAGACCACAACCGCACCGCCTTATCCCAGCTAAAATAACCGAAACAGTTTGCGGGTCTACCAACTTACGAAAACTTTCGCCAACGCACCCTTGTAAGGTGATCGGAATTAATAGTGTCCCTTGTGTCTCATGCGAATCAAATTAAAATTCGGTCGGAAAAACAAAACCTAATTCGACTTTTTAACCTTATCAAGAGTATTGTTTATTTTTATCCGACCTGTTAACCATCAGGTAGACATGTGTGAAGTGCAAAAAAAAAATAGTAATTTTCTTCCCTGGTGCAGATTAGCTTTATTCGACAAATATGGTAGGAGACGCCAAAATGGAAGTAAACATACAGTATATTATTTATTCATAACAGACACACGAATAATTATGTTGTTACATTTGTATGTCTAGTCGTCAGGCTTCACGAGATTTCCGCGGAAAAAAAAATAATACTATGTGAAGGGATGAAATTACATAAACCGCGTGTGTGTGTGAGTTACTTTTGCAGAGTTCTCGGAAATTTTTATCAAAACGAAGATCCCAGGGTGACTGTACGCAGGTACATCATCAACTTGGGAACAGGTTTGATTGATGTATGTACACAGGCTCTATTGTTATTATTTATTAAATGAAAAAAAAAAAAAAAAAAATCCTGACTTTTTTAAACAAACAATGATTTAAAATAACTTTTATCTTGATTGTGTGAATAATACAAGACCCAATTTTTAATATTGCCTATGGAGATGCGGGTAACAATTTTTGCATGGGGCAGAAATGTCGAAGCACCAAAACTTTCTTAAAATGGATCGGGGATTCTTGGATTTTCGACAAACTAGAGAATTATCCATGGGTTTCCCTGCTATGCGTACCCGAATAATTAATATTAATATCGGAAATTTGTGTGATATACAAAAAACAAACTATATAGTGAAGCACAACCGAGAACTTTAATCATCAAGAAAACACTGTTAGTGGAACGGAAAACTTCACAGCATCCCACAATAAAAGTCAAAATATAAATTTAATCTGTCAAACAAGTGTGTTCGGATTAATGTTTTATCCGTTATCAATTTCTGAGCGACTAATCAAAATTTTATTATTATTAATTTGTGTGATTCACACATCAGTCTTTTATCACCAAACATGCACTGTTATTGATGCTCGTAGAAGTTTTTCTTTCGACTGTTTGACTCTAACTTTCCACCACCAACTCGGGGCAATTTTGTAGGATGTTCACAATGAACGTTTTTTCTTTGTAATTAAAGATGATCTTCATGCACCGACACACAAAAATATTTATTATTTTCTTTTATTCTTAAAACACTTTACGTAAGCAAACGAAGTTGAAAGATATACACCAGTGGATGCGCTCTCGTATTGAATATTCTCATATCACCTGGTCAGTATTGTGCAGATCGGAATTTTTAACAGAAAGATGTTGTGAATTATTTATCCAAAGGATTAGACACGATATCAAGCAAAAAAACAAATATAAAGGCTTCCGATTCTTAAAGTCGGTTTCCACTTGAGGAGATTTTTGCCTTTCCTCTTTAGACACCCTTTTCTCATAACTCTCATTCATCCTTCCAACTAGAGAAAAGTTCGTTTCCCTCTTGGTGGTTACCGCGGACGTGAATTTTGTTGTATTTTCAGAGATACACTAAAATTGGCGATGGCAACCCCTATTAGTTAATTCCTACTGTCTCTCTTTTATGTACAAACTTCATTCTTTTACTTCTTTATATTCCTCTGTCTCCCATAATAAACACCTCATTTCTTTTTTTCCAACATCAATTTCATCATCACACAGCTCATCGGCATTTATTAGGTCCGATATACAAGCTGCACTGCCGACGGATGGTCCAGTAACGCTGCATCGGAACCAAATCTTGCTCAAAAAAAGCCACCGTCGCACGCGGGTCCTCGGCACCTCACCTCTTTTTGACTCCTTGGATCAAGTATCGAAAAAAATCGTGTTCACCCATCGTTCAAAATAATGAGAACAAGAATCCCCCTTGGGAATATTAATTAACCACATGTTTATATCACACCTACCAAATCTTTCGTCATCGTCCACACAAAAATATACCCTCTCTTACGTCATTGCACATCCTTTATGAAATTCCAATCTGAACTTAACCGCTTTCACCCGGTTGTTTGATCATTTTTCGTCTTATTCATTACACCGAATGGACCAACATACTTGAAAAATCTGGTTTCTATTTATAATGTTATATAATTTCTACCACCAAATATCGGATCTCGATTTCATTATTATGGATTGAATCATTTAGTATCATAATTTATGCATTGGGTACGTGATTCCGTGCACCACGATTGGCTTTTGCATGCACACATATTAATTATAAAATACCTACCGTCGTCTCTCCTGCCTTTTCCTTCTTTCTTTCTTTCTTTCTTTCTTTTCCTTCCTCCTTGATATAATAATAATACCTTCGAGGCAAATCAAAAAATTTTACTTTTCTATCATTAGTCAAAAAAAAAAAAATTTTTTTTATTCTCGAACCAGGTGTATAAACAAATCTTCTGTAATAAAAAAACCCAAATCTCTAAAAACAAAAAAATACTTTTGAATAGATCGTAAAAGGAGTTTCGCTCGAAGAAAACCGAACGTTCGTAAATGTTTCCCTTCTGTCAAAAGTTTTATTCAACAAAACTGACTCCTCTTTCTCTGCTTTCTTTCGGTCTTTATTTCTTTCTTTTCTCGAACAACCCTCTTTAGTGCAAATAATATCAAAAAAAAAAAAATCCGAAATGGCAGATTCCGAATACGACAGTAGGACTAATATCTTTGCTGATTCACGTACTTATTACAGTACTGGAAACCACAGTCTCACCGATTCAAACGTCAGGCAGTACAGGAGTTTCGCGGTATGCCTGGTGACTTTGCTGTGATCGATCTTGGCCTTGGTTAAACTTCATTTTTTCATCATCATCATTATTATTATTTTGCAGATGTCCAAAACATCTAGTCCAAAAGCTGGAACGGGCGAAAAGGATGTGCGCAAGAGACGAGCATCACATGGTAAAGTATTTTTCAAACATCATTCGTTTTCTCCTTTTTTTTTTTTTTCTTTCGTGGTTTTGGGATTCGGTTTGCGATTTCTGGGGTTGCGGGTTATACATGTATCTAAGGAAATGAGGATTTTACCCATCAATATTGGTCACCGTCGGCAGAGTTTCTCCACGACCGATCACCTAACGACACCATCTCCGAGCATTGAACGATGAAACCACCGGAAAATTTCGTTTCCTCGATCGACCTTTCGATTTTCTCTCATCATGCAAACTTCACTCAACCAACCAACCCTCGTCTCCTCCCGCAAGTCGTTTTCCATCTATCACGCGTACAATTATCACTTTACCCATTTCTAGAATTAGCGAAAGGATTCTAAAGCACGCACGCACAAACTTCCTTATCTTAAAGTGTCTCTTGTCATTCGGCAATTCAGTTCCTGACTAATGAACTTTGGTGTTTGAAATTTTTTAGACGAGAAGACAAATCGACCCCGCAAATTCATAATAGACGTGGAGGAGACGAAGCGGATCTTGCTAGAACAAGAAGATACAAACGGAGACAGTCAAATCACCATTCAGGATTTGGGTCCCAAAACCCTGACCGTCGGCACGGCTAGTTCGGGTGGTCATAGGAAGTTTGAGATTCGCGGCACTTACATGTTAAGCAATCTTTTGCAAGAGTTGGCATTGGCCGAAGGTTACGGACGTAAACATGTGGTCCTGGATGAAGCTCGATTAAATGAGAATCCGGTGGATCGTTTATCTCGCATGATCAAAAACCTTTTCTGGGATGGGCTGACCAGGAAGATTGATGCCGAAGGGTTAGAGGTGATTTGCGCCGATCCGAAAAACAGAACTGCCGATCATTCGCCGAGGATCTATATTCCTCATGGTGAAGATGAAATATATGAATATTATAAAGGCGTCGCGGAAACTCGACCTCATCTGAAGTTGGAAGTGGAAAAACTTCCAAAAGACATTACCCCCGAATATGTGAAAAGCATCAACGATCGACCCGGTATTCTCTCTTTGGCAATGCAAAAAACTATTGACGACAAAGGCAATGTCACTTTCAAGGGCGTCCCTTTTGTTGTGCCCGGAGGTCGATTTAACGAAATGTATGGATGGGACTCGTACTTTGAAACACT